GCTGGAGCTGTTGTACACTTCCACAATGAGTTTGATGGCCTCATCACGTGCCGCTGCAGCCTCTGTGGGCGTGCCGGCCAGGAAGCGAAACGTGTACTCGTGCTGGTCCACCGTCGTCAGCTGTGCACGTGTGTGTATTCGTGAGGCGGTGGGTGAAGCAGGACAACACATAGACAGCATCGGCCGTCGAGTAGTGGAGAGAGAAAAAGACACATATCAGATCCAAGCATACACACACACACATTCACACACACATACACACACACACACCGTCATCTTCATGCCTGCGGCGGAGGAGATCTTGCGGGGGCGACGCTTCAAATCGCGCGCTGCAATGCTCACCTATGTGACGCACAGACATAAACATGCGTGAGTACATACGCAGTTGCCAGGGGCGCATGAGCACAGTAATGGCAAAGACAGTGACAGAGACCATGTGGAAACACACCCAAACACACGTGCACGCAGATGAAGTGCACACAGACACACACAGACACACACGCAGACACACACACGTACACACACAGACACACACACAGACACACACACGTACACACACACTCACACACGTACACACACACGTACACACACACGTACACACACACGTACACACACACGTACACACACACACACACATACGCACACACCTCGGGGTGGAGGGGCGCCTTTCTTCTGCCAGGCAAGCGCTTGTTGGTGACGCGTTGTAGGTTCGGCACGTGCGATGCCTGGCTCCACACACATTCACACACACATACACACACACACACCGTCATCTTCATGCCTGCGGCGGAGGAGATCTTGCGGGGGCGACGCTTCAAATCGCGCGCTGCAATGCTCACCTATGTGACGCACAGACATAAACATGCGTGAGTACATACGCAGTTGCCAGGGGCGCATGAGCACAGTAATGGCAAAGACAGTGACAGAGACCATGTGGAAACACACCCAAACACACGTGCACGCAGATGAAGTGCACACAGACACACACAGACACACACGCAGACACACACACGTACACACACAGACACACACACAGACACACACACGTACACACACACTCACACACGTACACACACACGTACACACACACGTACACACACACGTACACACACACGTACACACACACACACACATACGCACACACCTCGGGGTGGAGGGCGCCTTTCTTCTGCCAGGCAAAGCGCTTGTTGGTGACAACAAAGAAGCCATCGCGGTCTCCCTTGCGCACATCAAAGTGCTTCAACACCTTCTCGCCATAGTGCAGGTGGAAGTCTTGCAGGAAGTCATACGACATTGTGACCGCAGCAGCGAGTGTTGTGGCGTTGTCCTCTCGCTTGTTGCAGTGTCGCGCACTACAGTTTATGGTGATCTTTTCCATATCCGCTGTTGCATTCTTCCTTTTCCAAACACGCACAACCACCAGCAGCCAGCGACCTCACGCACGTCACGAACCATCCATCCCCACGGCAGCACCATGGATGAGGACGAACAAGGTGTTGCCGGCATGCGTGTGCGAAGCGCTGATGACCACGCAGGAGAACGACAGCTTGAAGAAGCACGAGAAGCTGTCGAAGAAGACGACCGCGAAGAAGAACGGGGCTCCCCACAACAGGAGCCAGGTAATGCAGACAACACACATGACGACGACGAGGATGACGAGGATGTTGAAGGAGATGGCGTTGATGGTGAAGGCCTCGGTGGTGGCAATGGCAACGGTGCCAGTGTTGATCAGGATGAAGCAACCACGGTCGACGCCATGATCAACAACAGCACCAGCATCCACAATACTCACACCACCACCACCACCAACAACAACAACAGCGGGTCGTCGCCTGTGGTAGAGGCAGACATGTCTGAGATTGCCCTGACTGTCGCCGCGACAAACACGGCCATGGACGTGCTTCAGCGCCTGAGTAACGTTTCGCTGCGCTCCCCCACACCCACGCACCGCCCGCACCCCGTGGCGGTGTGGCCCTCGGAGACTGCGTCAGCGCCTGCAACCGAGGGGGACGACACAACTCCAACGACCACCGCGGATGCAGCGGGCGTCTCCGTTGCTGCCACACCTTCGCCAGCAACGGGCCCCGCTGTTGCTCTGACTGCTGCTCCGACTGCCGGTGTGAACAGCCGGGGTCGTGGTCGGCACCACCGCCGAGCCCAGCAGCACGCGCATGCGCAGCACGCTCAGCACGCCCGTGCCCATCAGCAGCAGCAGGTACAGCAGCGCCAACACCAACACAGCACCCACCAGCACAATCACCGCCACCACCACCACCATCACAACCACAACCCCAACCACCACCACCGCTATCAACAGCACCGCCAACAGCAGCAGCAGCAGCAGCAGCAGCAGCAGCAGCAGCAGCACCCACCACCACCGTCTTCATCATCAGCACCATCGGCCCACCACGCGCCGACGAGCCGCAACGGCGGTGACGGCAGCACGCAGCGCATGCAGCGCCTTGCCCACCAGCGCCACATGCAGCAGTATCACCGCAACGCCGCCGCCGCAATCGCTGCAACAACAGGTGTCATGCCAGTGCAGGCAGCAACACCATCAGCAACAGCAGCAACGGTGGCGAGTGGGAGGCAGCAGGGCGCTGCCATGTCCCCGGTGACGCCCAACACGGCGGCAGACGCCCCAACGGCAGAGGCGCTTGCACTTGCGGTGCTAGCGGACGCGGGCACTACAGCCACACCATCAGCAACCGGCGAGAGGGGTGGCGGTGGCAGTGGAGATGGAAGAGACACCACCACACCTGGCACCGCCAGCAACGATCAAGCCATGACGGCTGCTGCCGTGCTGGCTGACGAGGAAGAGGACCCCACGATGGGGTGGGACCAGGAGCTGTTTGTGCATCCTCCGGACGAGCTGCTACGCTGCCCCGTGTGCGGCCTTGTCATGCGTGACGCCGTGCAGTGTCCGCAGCAGCACTGCTTCTGTCGACCGTGCCTCACCACCGCCCTGGCGCACAAGGCAGCGTGCCCCGTGTGCCGCAAGATCATGTCGTGGGAGGATGCGCAGCCGAACCGCATGGTGCGGGCCATGGTGGACCGTTTGGTTGTCCGCTGCCGCAACCACACGCACGGCTGCAGCGTTGCCCGCCCCGTTGGCGAGATTGAGTCGCACCACAAGGCGTGCGAGTACGCCATTGTGTGCTGCCTCAACCAGGAGTGCCACCACCGCCTCCCGCGCAACGAGATGGGCGACCATCTTGCCACGTGCGAGTTCACGCGCATCACGTGCGAGGACTGCGGCGATCGCTTCCTCGTCTCCGACCGCGCCCGCCACTCGTGCCTGCGCTTTGTGCTCGGGCAGGTGCGCAGCTTGGCAGATGCGTTGCGTCAGCGCGATGACGAGATTGCGTCACTGCAGCAGAAGAACAGGGACCTTGAGGCGCGCGTGCTTATGCTTGAGGAGCACTCGTACCACATGCAGCAGGACGCGTCCAGGCACGACACGCCCTCCCCTTCCTCAGCAACGTTCGTGTGTGTGTGTGTGTGTGTGTGTGTGTGTGTGTGTGTGTGTGTGTGTGTGTGTGTGTGTGTGTGTGTGTGTGTGTGGACGTTGCTTGCTCGTGCGATGGAAGCACACTTTGTGACTACACGCCCACGCACATGCACTCACAAATACACACACACACACGTGCACATACTTTCACACACACACACTCACTCACTCACTCACTCACTCACTCACTCACTCACTCACTCACTCACTCACTCACTCACTCACTCACAACCCTCTGCACCGCATGTACACGTGCTGGTCCATGTGCAGGCACCGCCCCCGCCGCCCTGCCCCAGGGGACATTGTTGTGCTGTCACACGACTATGAGACGTATGCGGACGCGTGCGACGGCCCGCTTGACATTGGGTGGGCTGGCTGGGTGCTGGCTGACGACCTCACAGATGACCTCCCCATCCGCGTGCACGTGCACACGCGCGGGGAGTGGTGGTACGCTGCTGGGGCGCTGCGCGTGATTGCGCACCCGGGGGACGTTGTTTCGCGCCAGATTGCCATCAAGGGCCTGCCTGTGGTGCGAGGGCTCAACTGGAAGTGGGGCATGCAGGACGGGGGTGCGGGCAAGGTTGGCTTCATCACGCGGTGTAAGGGGGACTGGTGTGACTGCACGTGGCCGCACGGTGATATGGAGAACGCGTACAGGATTGGGCCGCACAAGTTTGATCTCCTCGTCGCCAATATGGTGGCCATCCCGCCCACCGCGTACTGACGCATGCGGCAGATGGGACGCCAAGGAAAGCAGGATTCGGTGTGTCTGTTGTGTGTCTGTTGTGTGTCTGTGTGTGTGTCTGTTGTGTGTCTGTGTGTGTGTCTGTTGTGTGTCTGTTCCTACCCCTTCGCTGTTTGCTTGCATGCATGCTGTTTGACACTTCTTACTTATGAATAAGAGACATTGGTATTGGTGCCCACAGTGCTCCGATGAAGAAGAGGGGGCGGGGGGGGGGAGCGCAAGTGAGACAGTTCTGTTCTTCTCTTCTGCTGCTGTTCTGCCTTTCCTTTCCTTTCCTTTCCTTGACTTCTTGCTGGAAATTGCACACGTGCACACACACGCGCACACAATCGACACTTCCCCCAACGACAAAGACAAGACACGAACTCCGCTGCCTACTGCCACAACCTCACAAGCCAGCCAGCCAGCCATGTTCCTGCGCTCTGTTGCCCGCCGCGTCATGCCAACCGGTGGGTGGAAGAGTGAAACAGTGTACGCCTGCTTGAGGGTGAAATGGCGTGCAACGCAGGCCCTCGTGCACTTGATTGGTGCTCGTTGCAGTGACCACTTCTCGCTGCTCACTCACGCACAACTTCCTTTCACACACACACACACACACACACACACACACACACACACACACACACACACACACACACACACACACACACACACACACACACACACATTCACGTCTCCCGTTGCTCTACCACCATGCTGTTCAGCCTCGGTTGCGCGCGCCATGCACGTGTCCCGCGTCACTGCCTCCTCTGATGGCCTTCGCAGCATCCTTCAGGAGGAGCTGCAGGTCGAGAAGGAGCAGGGTGTGCCACCCACATTCAGTTCCGAGATCCGCGGCTTCAAGGTCGAGTACACCCCGGGCTGCCCAACCATCAACCTCAACAACGTCGTCGACGGCGATCTGTAAGGCCATCCTGTGTGTGTGTGTGTGTGTGTGTGTGTGTGTGTGTGTGTGTGTGTGTGTGTGTGTGTGTGTGTGTGTGTGTGTGTGTGTTAGTGAACAACCACGATGCTCTCTCTTATCCCATCGACGCATGACCATCATGTTCTTGCCCGCTCCCGTCTCGCCACTACACGCGCGGCACTTTGCACACGTGCAGTGTGAACATTCGCATCAACCTCAACGACTGCGACATCCCCGAGGCGCCCTTCTACCAGGAAGAGCAGGAGCAGGAGCAGGAGGAGGAGGTGCGCATGTGCTTTCTGGTGGCGCTTGGGCGTCATGCCTCGTGTCTTAGTAGGGTGCCTACACCACCTACAACACTTGCGTCACATGTATCGGTGCCAATGGCCATTTTACACCCATCCTCCCCATGTTGTCTGTCTCTTGATAACGTCTGCTCACACACACACACACACACACACACACACACACACACACACACACACACGCACACACACACACACACACACACACACACACACACACAACAACACACACACACACAC